CCCCAAAACCCCAAAACCCCAAAACCCCATTTAAGTAGTATTAATAAGAAACGATGTTTTGTCAAATAGATCTAATATTTCTATCGAATATATTTATTAATTTTTTGAATAAGACAACCATGGGATTAGGATTGTGTTGCAGTGTCAAATACAGTTTAGACCCTTTTAATAAAACTCCTAGATCAATGAAATTTTCTAACAACTCTGATCTATACTCCTTTCTGGGCCATTTCGATAGAAGTTTGGATGAAGAAACTTTGAAACTCTACTTCTGGAGCTAGGAACTTTAGAAAGGTACCTTAAGCGTCAGATGGTATTGCGATGGAGAAAATATTTTGAAAAATGGTTGCTAAAATGAACTTGAGCAGTCTAATACATCATAGTTAGTCGAGGGCTACTTTGACATTCATACGAGGAACTTAGCATTATGCTTGAAGTGTGCTGAAGAAGTCAAAAACCCTTTAAATTTGATACAGTGGTATGCTTATACAAGTGAAAATGATTATAAAAATGTGTATGAAATCGATTACTTCGTGAAAATTAAGAATTTTATTAATGGCGGTGGAAGATCAAATGATCAAAGAATTTTGCTTACTGGATTTTTAGATTAAAAGAATGGTTTAAGTTATTTGAGAGTTTCAGCTGATGATTTAACAGAGAAAATTTATGATTGCACTTTAGATAGCTATAGTGAAAATACTATAAATGGTATTAATAGGAATGATGTTTTTGGTACTGAGACAAAGATACGAATCACTCAGATACCAATAGAAATTAGATCAACAACCAATTACATTGAGTAAGCACTTCCTAGAGATACTCATAACTCCTTTCTGCACTAATGCTAATTATAAGGACCTGAATACAGGTGATTTGAATGGGTTTGCGATGGCTATACTCTATTTCCGAGTCAATGTTTTGGCAAAATGAAAGATACTCACTAAAGTTATGGCTACTAGAGCTATATTTGTGATGATCATTATTTTCACCTTTGTGAATTCTGTGTCAGATATTGCTCTTGGGCTCAATAAAGATCACTAGAACATAAATAAAATTGGAAATTTAAATGGTCTAAGGATGATGATGAGGAAGAGACAATCATTGAAAACTTAATGGTTAAATACAGTTAAATATATGGAAAAGGGCTAGATAGTATTGGCGGCTATTTCATAACTGGAAAGTATAATACAGATGAAGCTGAGTTCAAAAAAATATACTACGATCAGCATTACTATATAACATTCAAAGGTTAAATCACTGCGAACAAAAAGAAAATTAAAGGAAAGTTATTCATCTTCGGAGATAAAGATTAAGAAGGAGAATTTGAATTGACTTGCAATTGAAATAAATATCAGTCTTTAATTTGTTTGATAAAACAGTCTGAATTTCCTGATGAAATATAAGAATAAATGATCAATTTGGATTTTAATAATATTTGATTTGTATGTTTTGAAGATTATCTCTCTTTCAAGGACACGAGGGGTTTTGGGGTTTTGGGG